AAGTTACTAGAGGAGTTGTGGCAGAATGAGGAGATTTGCTCTTCTTCTTTGGGATATTGAGAAAGACCGACTTGTATGTCGGGATGTAGTTGAGCAGTAGGGGAGCTCTCCGCTTGTGATCTGGCAGATCCAACATCTTCTTCAAGCCCTTGCTCAGGAAGAAGGACTTACGGAAGTCTTTTGCCTGTTGTGGAAGAGCTACAAGAAAAACAACCGTTAGAACGTATAAAAAGAACAAAACATTAAAGACTTGAAAAACAAGTGTAACACTTGCCTCTTACCATTACCCTTTACGATTATTGTTCGGCTAAGAGGGTAGAGGTGAAGGTCCTCATCTGGAGTAAACTCCCAGTTGCCCGAGACAATGAAGTAATCGTCCCCGACTCCCTTGTTAGAGTCTGGGAGGTCGGCAACAATTTTGTATTCTGTAGACCTCAGTTTGAGGTAGTAGATATAGTCTTTCTCTAACTTAAGGCCACACATGGTGTAGCAGTATTGAATGTCGGCTAAGGTTACCCTAGCTTTCTCTTTCTTAGCTAGGGCAATTATGCCGTTGATAACTCGGTAAGAGTTGATGGCGAGTTGCATTGGGTTCAACTTGTAGTAATGGAGGATTTCTCGAAAAAGAATGTCAAGTGGGAGCCTAAGGCCACACTCTATGAAAGCTACAACTGGGAAGGGCATAGAGTCGGCTGTGGGCATGATGGAGTCCTCCTCCCCAGCCAACCTGAGATGGACGTTGGCCGGGATGTCAAACTCCTGCTTGAAGTATTCTAACTTAGTTGGGGTGTCTACCCTATGCTTCCACATATCCATGATATCGGCTTGGGGGAAGGTGTTGGATTTCAGGAAGAAGTGTTTTTGTGAAGGTTTGAAGGACCTCGGCCAAAACCTAAATGTGTACTGTGGTAAGAATTTTTTAGGATCTAAGGGGAATTTGTTTCAGTTCTCCCTAAGGTTCGTAAGTTCTATAAACAAATCCCAAACCTAAGTCTAAGCAAATGAAGATTGAAGGCTGGAATTTGAAAAAAACACAGCAAACAGAAACAGGAGTGCGATTCAGAATCAAGAACAGTGGTGAATCATCAAGAACACAGTCATAAAGTTTGTACAGGTGTGTATATATTCAAGAATGGATTGGGAAAAAACAGAGCCATAAAACGAACATGCTCAAGTACATGATGGAATCCAAGACACAAATTAACGATCAAAGACATGAGCAAACACACAAAGGCAGCGAGTACAGCAGTGGAGTTCTTTGAAGTAAAACAAGAAATTTATATAAGAGGAACAGTGGCTTACTAGAGGAGTGAAGCCGGTGTTGAGTACGCCCGAGTCAGGTAATGGTTACAATCGAAAAAGGTCAGCGAAAGCTTCACCGGAGGGAAGGAATAAAAGCAGTTGCAGAGCTTGAAGGTTTGAAGCAATGGTGGATTTGGGAGAGTAGAGAGAGAGAGAGTTTGCACGAAGATGATGGTAAAAAAGTGAAAAAATAGAGAAAGAGGGTGGTTTTGATCAAATGCAGAGAATGGCGGCAAAATACCATCAATGCGCCTAGAGAGACGTGCTTGTCAGACAACGCACCCAGACGCAAGACGACTTAAAGGCACGTATCAAGTACAATCCAGTGAATGGAAGACGCGTGGTTAAAATGGTTGGGTTGCTGTGCGTAACAGCTTTCACGCATGATAAAACTCTTAAAGTTCTTGGTTTAAAGAAGCAAGGACCTCGGCTAGGAGGATGATCTCGGATAAATAATTTAAACCGACTTAATTATTTGCTCTAAAGGCATTTTGAGGAAAACAGATTACAGATCTTGGTCATATTGAGTCTACGAGTCTTGACTTCGACAATAAATAATGGAGTTAGCTTAGCCGACGTGCTATGAGATCAAAAGATATAGGTTCCATCACCTCAGTATGCCGAGGTAATAGAACTTAGGGGGCAGTTATGAGGACATAATTTTTGAATGGCAACATATGGCCGAGGTGTCACCGAAGTGTCAACCAAGGTGCCAAAGTGTCCTGATCATGACGCCGAGGTGATCTCAGTTAGGCCGAGGTTATCTCCGAAGATACCGGAGTTCGGGATAAACGGATAAGGGATAAGAGTCCTAAAATGAGAGAAGGATTCAGTTTTGATGAAAATAAGACTCTTAGAGAGTTTATCCCAATCCTACTGGGAGTCCAAGATTAGCAGTAATTCAAAGTCCATTGAAGCTAGGCTTCTATTGGGATTAGGTTTGTGATGATTATAAAAGAAAGGCACTCCCATGGGTCTAAGGTGCGCTTTTGATATTCTGAATAGTGAGTTAAGCATTTTTGCTATCTTTGAGAGATAACTGACTTGATCGTCGGAGTGCCCCCGGGTGGACGAACCACTGCCGGAATCTCTTCTTTCTGTTACAGGTCGTTCAGACGTCATCTATTCTGCCAGTGTCCTCCAGTTGAATACTAATCTGGCAGTGTGGTCAGAAATCTACTCACACAATATATATATATATATATATTAATAATAAATTTCATAAATCAAACATGTAAGTTTACACAAATAAAAAGTAAAATAAAATAACAAAAATTTATTTGACATATTATTAAAAATAAATATTAATCATTTAATTTGTGTTCACAAGCCTTATTAAGTCGAGCTTGGATTTACTTGGGCTCAACTTGATTACTAAAGGAGCCTAAAAATCAAGATCAGATTTGTTCATTTAATAAGAATAAATTATAGCAATGAATTTACTTCGCCATTGGAGAGGTGATTTGGGGCATTGCCATCCATTTTAATTTAGACAGATCGAAAAAAATCAATTCACATCTATCTGTTTAGTTAACAGATGTGGATTGAGCAGTCTGTGTAAGTTGGCGGGTGGATGTGGATCGGTTGGCGGGTGTGGGTTCTGTTTTGGACATTTTTCGAACTATTTTCTAGTAATTTTTTTTATTATTTTGATCCTAAGAGTTTTTATTCTTTATTTTTTATAGTAAAAATAAAGGCCAAACTTCCATAAGCATAACATCATTTTCTTAGGAGTGTTGATAGATCGAGTTGGGTCGAATGGCCTCCCATCTACCATCCATCAAAATTTAGGCTGATTGAGAAAAATGAATCTACATTCTTTCGCTCAGACCATTGAAAGTGGGGGAAGGGTGTGACGGATTGATTCAGACCATTCGGTTTTGACTAGTCGGATGAATGCTTGCCCAACTCTAACTCACTTTATTCTACATATATTTCTATAATCAATTCTGTAATTTGATTTGTACATGTAGAATTATTTTTTGACGAATTACAACCGATTTTGAAGGAAATTAAAGCAACTGATCACAATTTTCATAATCTGAAATGAGGGAATATTTGTACAAGTTTCAGTGTATTTTCAATCAGTTTTTAGAAAATGACATTTCAAAGAAATTCCTTCTCTTTTCAAGAGATGTGTTGAATGTACTTTCTATTCTATCATATACAGCACACAATTCTGATTTTTTTTTTTTTTTTTTTTAATTTTGAAATTTTGTAACATTTTTTTTTTCTTTTTTTCAAAGTTAACATCAAAATGATTATAGTAATAGAATAACTGCTAAACAGTTGCAATTGTAACCCATCTTTGCCATCATTAAACTATTCAAATGTTTAAATGTAAAATTACAAACGTATGGCATTTACAATAACCACTAATATACATATACAATGATATATGAATTCTTACAGCAGATATAAACTCGCTGTCAGGAAAAGGATGTAAGCTGAAGAAAAATCCATGAAATGTTCTCTTTATTCCCAACTGTTTTTGGTTCTTATAGTTTGTACAACTTCACATTATTATGAGCTTTCCCCAATTTTCAATGACCATCTCTTTGGACTTGTGTTCACAACTTCACATGCAACCTTCATATCTCGTGTATGTACGATTAAGAGCATCTTCACTTGGTGTGGTAATGTTAGGTCATTCAAAAAAATTTAGAAATACAGAAAAACTGATAATAGAATTAAATATAACTTTATAATATGAGGTGAGTTCCGTTTTTTTATAAGTATTAAACTCATGTGAGATTGTTTCTCATTTCGTGATTGGTTTCTGTATAAGAGGAATTATATATTTTCTATTCATCAATAGAAAGGAACACTTGAAAAAATGTTTTGAATTTCCCTACAATTAAATTTGAGATATATGGGATCAACCGCATCACCCACTTAGGGTGTAAAACGAATTAAACTACTAAAATTTAATTTATGTTTAACTCATTAAAAACTTATTTTAAGATCAACTCGTTATCTATAACACACACACACACACTAAAAAAAAAAACTCAATAATTTTTAAATTTCAATTCGAACTTGATAAACTTATGTATACTATATAAAATTAAATTACTTAAGTTAGACTCGATTAACTTAGTACTCAATTCAACTTGTTCACAAGTATGAGAGCATCATATAAACATGCACAGTTTCTGCTCCAAAAACTAAGGCCAAGTCGAGTGCCACAAGAATTTCCACTATGGATTTTGTTATAGAAAAGAAAATTACATACAAACTAATAAATTTTATAAATTTTTCTTACTAACTAATGTGTTTTACAATGATAAAATCGCATAAACTAAAATAGAACCCGCTTTAATGATATAATTTTGTTCCACAACGATAAGTAAAAAAAAGTTTGCAAGATTTGTTAATTTGTATAGAACATTACTCGTCAAAAGAATGCCAACGCAAAATTTGACATTTACATGACAAGGACGTTACGTGTTGCCTGCCTCCCAATAATTACTCATCTCGCACTTTTTCTTTTTCCTTTTATTTTTTGAGAATTTAAATATAGTTCATATATTTAGCATAGTTTATATATTTAGCTTACTCCTAAGAGTGTGAGAGTGAGGACAGGGAGCTGACAGTTGCAACAAATGACTAGTTATATAAATATAAGCAAAAGATGCGCTGCAAGCAAAGATGAACATTAATTAATTTAGAGGCCACTTTTCATTTCAAAGCACGAATTATCTATAAACATCAATCCAAAACTTGTGATATTGTGATCAATTTTGCAACAGTTCGACACCAAACTAGACTTGACAGAGCTACATTGCATAATTGATAGATAAATAAATGTGAAATAAAACCCTGTTAAGATACTAACAATAACAAAAATTGAGTAATAAACTGCGGCGAAGATAAAGGGCATAATTATAAAACGAACAATTCAAGTGAGCCCATAAAATTAAGGCTCAGTTTTACTTTACTCAATAACCTTCAAGACATTCAGAGTTTGCTCGCTCTTACAAAGCAAGCCCCTAAGAGTTGAATCCAAGTTAAAATTAACAAGCAGCTATGCTGTGATTCTCGACCGACCCTTTGCGATTCTTCGTGCAATGACCCGCCGCCCACCCTTGGTTGCTTTGCTGGCCATGTGTTAAAGACATGCATTAATCATACCATAAAAGTGATATATACACTATTCTAATCTCCATATGCGTACGACTTAATTGAAAAATAAACCTACTTCACATAACTAGAAGACAGATCTTTGGTCACATTCACACAAAGATAAAGCAAGGAGAGTTAAAAACCCAAGAGTTCCTAGAATAAACCTTTAGTTGGTTTTTACATCATCATTTAACAAAAAAAGGGGAACAAGAATTTAAGGGCACACATCTGAGTTTTAAAAATGCATATATACATGTGTTCATGCGCATATGAGAGAGAGAGAGAGAGAGAGATGTACCGAGCCAAGAATCCATGCGTCCTCTTCCTCTTGATGACACTAGGTTGGTATGTTCGTTTGGGGAACAAAAGCATTGGATCACTTGATGAAGGCCCATCCACTGAAAAAGAGAGCAACAACTTAGTTCACATACAAATTAAAGAAGGGGCAAGATATAATATTTTTTTGAGCAAGTATAGTTTATTAGAAATGGTGAAAAGTCAACAATCCATCTAATACTATTGCAAGACTTGCCAGCTCACCTAGGAAAGACATGTTGAACGTTTTTTTTCTATTTCTTTTTCTTTTTCTAGGTGTTTAGCGGACTTCACAATGACACACCAGGAACTTATATACAGTCAGATTAAACCCCTGTAGCTAATAAAAACTTGCCATAAAGGGTTTGGACAATCCTCCTAAGACCTAAACAAAAGCAGAGCTTTCATAGAGCAATTATTGCAGAATTGGACCATCGTATCATAAGACATTGCTTGGCTGAACTCAGGCTCAGGGAAGCATCAATTCCACAAAGTAGTATAACAGTGAATCAAAAGAGCCCTTACCAGGCAATCATGCTGAAAAGCTAAAAAAAATATGAGCCAAAAGAGCCCATCCAATCATCTGGAAACTATAACAGTGAATCAAATCTCTGGCTGACAAAATTGGTTTACCAAGGTAGCATCATGTTGTTTAACCTCTCATCAACAAAACTAGAGATTTTTTCCTCATCACAAAGTAAACGCTACAGGGTGAATTTTCCCAACTGTTTTCCTTCCTATGCACACCATCTTAAAGCTCTATTCAAAGTGCTGACAGAAACAAACCTTACCACAGCTAAACGCTGCTCATATAAAAATGAAAGATGCAATTGACCACAGCCAGAATTTTACTTCCCCCTACCAATCTTATGAAATTACGTCTTTAGTAAAGAGATGGTCATTACCTTCTCACAGACTCTACGCAAAGTAAATATACTGAAAAAAATAGTGAATTGCCCAAATTGAGGAAGGGTGAAAATAGAGAACTGTTTTTTTTTTTTTTTTTTCTTTTTAACATTTTGGAGGCACAAAGACATTTGCAAGGGGAATTTCAAATGAGTGTTATTATTAGCACCCTATGAATTATTTTGGAACCCCACTTATCAATTCTAAAACCCTTAAATTTTCTTTTCTCCTCCAAATAATGCTAAAATTATCCTTATAAAAATATTTCACCGATTCACATTCACACCCCCACACCCCACACACCCCAAAAAGCCTCTCTCCCAAAACCCTAACAAAACCCACGACGGTGGAACCTCCCCCAAAACCAAGGAAAAAAATGTGGTGATTAAGAATTTTTTACTCTGTTTCATTACGAGGTTTTTCAATTTATTTGATTTTTTTTTCTTCTATTACCTCTTTTCACACACACAACACAATCCACTTTTATGCTTCTCTGGTTGATTTTCTGTGATTCATCCATGATTTCACTGTACTTGTATCTCTCTATGTGAGCAAAATTGGACAGGATTTTACCTTCCAGTCAACCAGCCAGTCGGCCACCCAAGGGTGGTCCAACCTCCTTTGTTTGTTTGCCTACTTCTGCTGCTGTTTCTGCTTCAGTTATCTGTTCCCGAACAAATAAGAAACATTCAGTTACCTATTCCTAAACAAATAAACAATGTTCGAACCTATGTTCCCGAATTTCGGTCATATGTTCAGAAATTTCAACCCGAAAAATAACCTTTTTATTTGCCATTTTTTTCAAGAAACTTACCCTCATAAGGCCAATCTCCTCTGAGTTAAGAATATCATTAAATTTATGGATCTCTTCTGAGCTTTTATTATTGTACTCCTCTCGTCTCATGGAGTTGTGCTTGTCGGAAAAACTTTCACTCATTGTCATTGCTGAAGAAGTGTATGTAATCAAATGGTTACTACCATTGTCGCCGGAATATTACCACCAAAGAGTTTTCAAGTCAAGGTTTTGAGAGTGGGTAAGTTTTGAAGGTGGGATTTGGAGAAGATGGATGGATGGATGGTGATGGAGGTGGGTATGCTCATAAGCCCTAACTCATGATGTAGTGGATGTGTGGACTTAATTGTGAGATTAGGTGTTCCAAAATTTTTGATGTCCTTTTTAGTAATTTCATTTGAGATGATTATTGTAATAAATCAGTAACAAAAAAACTAAAAATGGAGGGTCCAAAATAATTGATGGGGTGCTAATAGCAGCACTCATTTCAGATTTTTAATCAAAAAAAATGTGCAAAGCATTCTGCGAAACAAAGGATGCACAGAATCATTCTGTGCAATACAGAATCACATTCCTCTGTCTAGTCTATCTACCCTTACAGCCAGAGTGTCTTGGGGATCAATTATATTATATATGTGCTCCAATCTCCCATAGATGTATCTACAATTGAATTGGGAGAGGCATGGATCTTTATTTGCCCAAAAGTCCCAAAAGAACAATCATTTGAGAAAATGGTTGGTAAGGCAGACCCATATACACACAGCAAGCAAGCAGATTTTGTTGGTATGCCAGCAAGCTCATAGCTCGTGGTGAGATTCATGTCATAATTAAATCTCGATTCTACCACACTATAATTTCTCTGGATCTGGACCCAACCAGGGAAAGGTATAAGCAAAAATCATATCTTGGTCATTATACCAAGGAAAAGTGGTACTCCCAGACCTTGCGACAGCAACCTACATTCTGTTATTGTTTCTTTCCAGCACAAGTGTACAACCTAGCAACATACATAGGATCAATACAAAAGAATCCGAGAAGATCTCCATGAAATCTACAGAGTTGCCTCCCTCCCTGCGGGTTACATGATCATACATTGTATATTTTGCACCAACTCTTGTAGTGATGTATAACTGTTTAAAATCGAAATGGGAGATGACGCCCTTGATGTGATCCAATCTCCCCTAGGTGTATCTAAAATTGAATTGGGAGAGGCATAGATCTCTATTTGCCCAAAAGTTCCAAAAGACCAATCTAAGGCTCATAATAAAGATTAAGGCAAATTTATTTACCAAAAAAAAAAAAAATTAAAGATCAAGGCAAATTTCACTTTATGCTTTATGGTTTGACTCATGTGCAAATGATCCTCTTGTCATTTGAAAATATGCACATTGCCCCTTGTGAACTGCCAACCAAAGTGCAGAGATAGTTTTCCCATTCAAGTTAATGGTATGTGAGAGCCACGTGCCTATGTAGGAAGTAAGCCATTTTTAAGAGAAAAATACCCCTTATACACCTTCAAATTTACAGGGGGGAAATGCCATTCTTCTTCTTCCTCTCTCTACTTCCCCCCTATCCCCTGTCAGTCTCTCTTGCTCCACATCCCCTAGCCTCGCATACCAAGCACCACGCCACCCTCAACCACTAGGTGACCATGGCAGCACAAAATGAACAGATCTTTAGCCCCCAAAAGCATGCAACACTGGCAATTCTCTATCATGAACCAATTTTCATCTCATTGTCCCAATTTTCATGACACAAAAAGGAGCTTCTAGAGAAGTAGAAAAGATTTTACTATATAACCCTCTTCGCTATAGTGGAACAACTGGTTTTGAGCATAATTGGCTGTGGAAAGGTTCCAGTAGGGAAAAATATAGAAATCAAGAACTTGAAAAGAAAAGGCACTAAAACAGAATAAAGAAAAAAGGAATAGAAAATACAAAAAACTAGAAATCAATTTATCCTAGTTGAAACAGGAAATATTGGCTTCTACTGGAGGCGGCAAATTGAAAATGCAACTAGTCTTCGTTTCGATCAACCATTCCCTTAAGTTTCAGTGAATATTTGGGTGAGTTGTGCACCAAACATGAGTGATATATATGTTTAGAGAAAGAAGACGAGAATTTGGGTAATTATACAGGTGCTATTAACAAAAGTTAGGTGCACTTTGGTCCATGAATCATAGGGGCAACATGTTCAAATGATATGGGGGTCATCCGCACATACGCCAAACCAGGAGGACATAAAGTGAAATTTGCCCTAAAGATTAAAATATTTGAAGTTGACTCCCCCCGTGGGCCTGCATAATCATACATTGTATATTTGCACTAACTCTTACAGATTTATATATGTAACTGTTATTATCTTTTTGGGCTATTAGATCTTCTACATGCATAGGGATATATGGTCATTAGACTCATTACTCAATTTAAATCAACATTTGTAGAGTTGTGCCTATGTTCTACCCTGTGTTACAAAAAAATGCTAAATGCTAATTCCCTAGCAAATTACGTATTGGAACGAATGTTCCAAAACATAGTACACTTCCGTTCCAAAACAGTAAATTTAGTCAACCGATACGAACACAAAAGTTTTTTTCAATAAATTTCCTTAAATATTACCTTACGAGAAAAAAAAATCAAATATAATAAACTAAAATATAAGGTGAGTTAAGTTTTGACAAGACAAAACACCAAAAATGGAAGAAAAAAAAAATACATTTTATTAGATGTCTAATAGTTATAAGAAAATTACTCAAGAAGTATCTGGAATTCTTAACTGTAATATATACAAGTCAAGCCCTATCTACCATAATTTAGAGCATGTGGCTTACCAGGTTCCCGTTCCACGTACTGAAATGATCCACGTTACAGGTAACATAGGTACTACCATTATTTCATTGAACAACTAAACAGAAATGAACTGTGAAAAACAAATTTCCCCCAATTCAGATATTTTACAAGGTAGAAATTGAAAATCCCTATAGCTAACGCTTCAGTAACATTGATCACTGCATTCATGCCAAGAAATAATCAGATTCTACAACTACAGAGCTCACAAATGTCAAATTACACTCTTTTTCGCTTGTTTTAACAACACAATTTGAATCTTTGACGTTGTAATTTGTAATACAGACAAACAATCCACCAAAATCAAAAATTATAGAGAGAGAGAGAGAGAGAAGGAGGGAGGAGAGAAAGTACCGTCGGGTAAGAAGAATCGGAGAGAAGGAAGGCCGGAGGGGTAGAGAAATCCATCGAAAGAAAGTCTTTTGAGGGGATCGGAGTCGTTGTGGGGGAAATTGAGAGAGGTCTGGAACTTGGAGAGAGAAGGTGGGAAAATCATGGGAGTGATTTCGAGGCAGCTCGATGCAATCAGATGGTTTGAGCTCGTGTTCTTCTGCTGTTGCTGAAGCAATGGATTCAACAATCGATTCATCAGAGAAGCTCCGGTCCGAACTAGGGTTTTAGACGCCATTTTTGGGTGAGCTGTCCCTGTGTGTGTTAGAGTTTCTCGGAACCCTAGAGAGCGAAGACGATGTGCAGTAAAGAAAAAGAATAATGCTATATCTAAACAATTAATGTAGTATAAATAATTAGGGGTTTTTAGGTTATCTAAACAATTAATGTAGTATAAATAATTAGGGGTTTTTAGCCTCCGTTTGGGAAGTGGGTTGGCTTTTTGGCTTTTTGACTTTTTGGCTATTTTAGCCTGGGCTATTTTAGCCTGGTTTGGGAAGAACTTTTTGACTTTTTGGCTTTTTTGACTTTTTTTGTGAGAGGGGATTGTAATGATTATGGGTTGGATTTGATGTTTTGTTTTTTGTGGCTAAAATAGCCTATTTTGTTTTTTATGGCTATTTTAGCCAAAAAAGCCTGGGCTTTTCCTTCCCAAACAGAGGCTTAGGAAACTTAAACAAGTGTATTTTTTATCTTTATATAAAAAGATGTGTAAAAAAATAAAGAGGTAATATGATGAAAAAAAGATAAAAAAATTGATTATTTTTAAGTTGTCGGACTTGATCTTAATGTAGTATAATTTTAAAAGGGTTGAGCATTTATAATTTGAAAAATGTTATATATATTTGAATAATGTTATATAATTAATATATTAATTGGTGATGTGATATAATTTTAGAAATTTTAAATATTTATAATGTAATTAATGAGTGAGATTAATAATAATGTTATTAGTAGTGTTTAAACAAGTGTATTTTTTATCTTTATATAAAAAGATGTGTAAAAAAGTAAAGAGGTAATATGATGAAAAAAAGATAAAAAAGTTGATTATTTTTAGGTTGTCAAACTTGATCTTAATGTAGTATAATTTTAAAAGGGTTGAGCATTTATAATTTGAAGGATGTTATATAATTTGAATAATGTTATATAATTAATATATTAATTGGTGATGTGATATAATTTTAGAAATTTTAAATATTTATAATGTAATTAATGAGTGAGATTAATAATAATGTTATTAGTAGTGTTAATATGTTAGTTAATATATTAATTAATATATATAATACCCCGTTATAATTTATATAATAAATGAGATTAATAATAATGACATATGGATTAATTAATATATTATTAATTAGTAGCATAAGATTATCGAGGAAAGAAAGAGTACTGCAAAAGATAGAAAATCTGAGAAAAGCCCATTGGGGCTTAGATTGTATTGGCTCAGGCTGGCCCTCTTTCGTTCTGTCCATTTTGTGTTTTTTTTCGGATCACCAATGCTATGGGAAAGGGCTAATTGTTAACACGAGTACATATTTCAAATCAATTACTTAGTGAAAAATTTTAGAGTGATGCTAGAGATTTTTTAAATCTTTTAATATACCTTTTACATGGGTATGGAAGTCATACACATGTCAATTTTTGTGAATCTCGTGTGAAATTTGGTAAAAAATTTAGTAAGGTGGTGTTTGGCAAGAAGGTTTGGGTGGGTTAGGGGCTAAAATAGCCACAAAAAATAAAATAGATTATTTTAGCCATAAAAAACAAAACATCAAATCCAACCCATAATCATTACAATCTTCTCTCACAAAAAAAGTCAAAAAAGTCAAAAAGCCAAAAAGTCCTTCCCAAACCAGGCTAAAATAGCCAAAAAGCCAAAAAGTCAACCCACTTCCCAAACGGAGGCTAAATTATTTGAAGTTTATAACATTTTTTAAAATTTTATGAATAAAATATGGTGTTATAAAGATGAAAGATAAACTCATTTAGGTAAGTAGGTTTGCAGGCTTTTTTGGCTATTTTAGCCACAAAAAACAAAATAGGCTATTTTAGCCATAACAAACAAAACATCACATCCAACCCATAATCATTACATTCTTCTCTCACAAAAAAACTCAAAAAAGCCAAAAAGCCAAAAAGCCAACCCACTTCCCAAAAACCAAGCTTTTAAGCCCAGGCTAAAATAGCCAAAAAAGCCAAAAAGCCAAAAAGCCAACCCACTTCCCAAACGTAGGCTTAAAAGTAGGACAAATTACATCCGTACTTGTATTTTAGTCTCTGTGTCATTTTAGTTATTGTAATTTCAATCGACTCAATTTTGACCATGAATTTATAATTTTGTCTCAATTAGAGCTGTTAGCATTTTTTAATGAAAAATACAAATAGAAGCATCTTGTGTCATGATTTTAGGGTCGAACTTATAATTTTTTTTTAACTCAGTGAGTAAACTTCAACTAATCTAGTGATCAATTTTTAGTCAAAAATACTAACGGCGCTATCAATTATTATAAATTAAATGTAATATTTTATTTTATTAGACTAAAAAAAACTCCAAAACCACTTCCCAACCATAAGCGAGTGTGGCTGTTCTTTATTTCTCAAGAATACCACGTTGGCAATGTCATATTCTGTTATGAAAATATTTAATAATTTTTCATGTAAAACATGTGATGGGTAACTTTTTTTTCTATTTTCTTTTTTTTCTAACGAGAATCCTCTCTAAGGCAATGTCATATTAGAATTATTGGACATTTGAATATAGGATTTCATCCTGAAGACTCTTAATAAGTAAGGGGGTGTTTAGAATTTATTTTTTGGCTAACTTTTTGCTGGATTTTTCATCTTCCGCAAATTTCTTTTAAAAAACTTTATACTTTTAGATTTTATTTGAATAGACGGATTAGAAAAGTAAATATATATGGAGAAAAAATCAACTCTTTTGACCTTTTTTCTTGTTTAGTAAATTTTTTTTCAACTCTTTCAAAAAAATTAAATCTTCTCAAAAGTAATAAAAATAAAAATAGAAATAAAAATAAAAATAAAAATAATGACAAAAAAATTATTTTAAAATATCAAAAAATCATTCCCCCAAGTTACTCTTACAAATTGGTGATAAGACGTCAGAAACACATTTAATACACCTATTAGTGGAATCTATGACCTCTCATAGGGGGAGTCATAGTGGCCAAAGACAATGTTAATTAAATTAAATCAATTTATTAGTGACAAATAATATTCAACTTTTGTTAGCATAATATTATTGAAAGAATGGAGAAGAAAGCACTTATTAAAAGGAGTATATGATACCTAATAATACACTAAACTAACTATTCCATATTGAGAATGATATACAGGGTCAATGGTTGGCTTTAAACAGACTAAAACTATTCCATATTGAAAATGTTATTCAGTATTATTTTCAAGGCAACACTTGACATGAATAACACTTAGGCCTCGTTTGGAAACAGACTAATTTAGTAACTTTTTAGCTATTTGGCTAAAATATGAACTAAAAAAACTAGTATGTTTGGGAGAAAATTGGTTCGTAGCTCGAAAATTGAAGGGCTCGAAAGGCTCGAAATTAGAAATTTCTCTCTCCTCTCACTTTTTCATCTCGTCTCCCCTCTCCGTTTGGCAATGAAAACAACTCCATTTTTCTTTTCTTCGTAGCTCGAAAGAAATCATCCATTCGTCTCTCGATATCTTCCCTCTCCTCTCGATATTATCCGTCTCTCCTCTCTATCTCTTCACTCTGGCCTTCAAGGAGTACGAAGGAAGACGCGATGGGGGACGATGGACGAGAAGACGGTGGACGAACAACGACGGGGAGGACGAAGGACGAACGAAGAACGACGATGGAGGACGGAGGACGAACGACGGAGGACGAATTTGAGGTACAAATTAAAAATCGCAAAGTTAGGGTTTTACATTTGGTTTCAATTTTTTTAGAACAGATTCGATTGGGAGTGTTTGGGGTTGGATTTTTGATGCAATCTGTGTTAGGGTTTGCGATTTGGCTTTAATTTGTTCAAGAGGTTCCGCTTCTACCACTCTTGTTCTGTGTTGGTTACCCGATGGGGGACGATGGACGAGGAGACGGTGGACAAACAACGACGGGGAGGACGAAGGACAAACGAAGAACGACGATGGAGGACGGAGGACGAACGACAGAGGACGAATTTGAGGTACAAATTAAAAATCGCAAAGTTAGGGTTTTACATTTGGTTTCAATTTTTTTAGAACAGATTCGATTGGGAGTGTTTGGGGTTGGATTTTTGATGCAATCTGTGTTAGGGTTTGCGATTTGGCTTTAATTTGTTCAAGAGGTTCCGCTTCTACCACTCTTGTTCTGTGTTGGTTACCTATTGCGTTTTTATAATTTCAAAAATTGACAAACATGAATTTCAAAAAGCCAAAGTAATGGAAATTCTGAAATTCATACAACATACACAAGTTCAAAAGGATAATCCTCGTTTCAAAAATAGTATAATCAAACCTGGAAATTCTGTTAGAACAGCTGTTGAACATGAATTTCAAAAATATTATAATCCTTGTTTTCACTAACATGAATTTCAGAATTTAGGGCCTATGAATTTCAGCTGTTGAACATGAATTTCATACTCTTGTTCTCTGTTAGTTATAATATTGTATCAAAAATAGTATAATCCTCGTTTTCACTAACTACTGTATCAAAAATGGTTATATTCCTTGAACTAAATCTGACTGAGTTGAGTTATTCCTCAAATTTATGAAAATGGCCTCTCCAATGGAGGCAATTGGAGGAAAATGAATTGATGTAACCATCTCCACTTCATGAAGACTATGTCCTGTTGAGTTAGAGTGAAGACTAAAAATAGAGTGAATTCATGTGGATTCATGTTACCATTTCCTAAATCATTGATACCCAATTTGAAGGAAGGTTAGCTATAATAGAAAAATAAAAGGAGATTTTTGTAGTTATTCTTGAATTTGGAGGCTTGCCATTGAAGAAAACTGCTTGAGAATTGATTTAGCATCTTTGTCTAATTTTAGTGAAGACTAAAAACTGCTTGAGAATTGATTTGGGAATGATGATTCAAGATTTCCTTGAACTAAAAACTGCTTGAGAATTCTTGAACTATTCAATTCAATTGTTGGTTATGGAAATCTTGTCTAAGGGCAGTCTTTTGTTTTGATTTGTTGTAGGATAGAAGCAATCCCTTTTTCTTAGTATTTGACTTGTTGCAAACCATATAGAGAATTTGGGTAGTAAGGTGAGAAAAAGAAGAGAAATGATTGTATTTTTTCACTATTATAGTTGGATGGGTAATAAAGCAAAACATATGAAAGAGGGACATGATATGACTGAGATTTTTTTTATTCCTTTTGTAATTTAAGGGTCAATCTTGGTAATATAAATATTTTATAACTAATCAACTTGTTTCCCAGCGAATCTCACCACTTTTGGTGAAAAATGAAATGAGCTAAGCAACTCCAATACTACTATGCATTTTGCCTAGTTGTGCATAAAAAAAATGATATATATGCAACATAAAAAATAATATTTTTTTCATGGCATGACACATAAGTTCTTATTTGTGATGTAGTTATCGATGTGATATTTGCAAAACAGTAATATCTTTTAATAAATAAATAAATTACTTTGCACAAAGTTTGAGGGGACATTTCTAAATTTCTCTATTGCATAAGACTAGCAATCTCCATTTATCAAATTTAAGTCGTGTAATAAAAATAAAATAAAACAAGACTTGTGTTGTGAGATTGATGTCTAGAGCAAAGGAGTAGATAACAGCAAGCAACATAATGGTGGGAATACACATTTGCTTAGCATTAGACACTAGCTACATGTGGAGAGTGAAATTAAAAATAGGCAAAATGCCTCTTGTGATAGAGAGAGCCTATTGAAGACACAAAATGGAGCTTCACTAGCAAAAATGCCTAGAATGCTTATTTTGCCTCTTGTCTTGGAGTTGCACTAAATAAGATAGTTCTCTATCCCCATTTCTCGTGGCCCCTCATTTCAGTTATAAACCAAACATGAAAAGAGTTCACTTTGTCATTATTTCTTTTCTTATCACTTCTCATCAAGTCACTGCATCCAAATAGTGTTAATGTCATTGTGTGAGTGGACCATCTTTGTGGTTTTGTTGTTTTTTGAGAGTTGTTGTTCTGTCTTTTTCTGCTAACTTTTCTCTGTTATTTATCATATCATATTTTTCTAACTTGAGCAGACTTTCTGACGACTTTTTGTTTTTCATGAATCAGGATTCCAATTATTTTTGAAGGTGATCTAGCACATATTGCGGCCTGCCATGTAAAAGAAAAAGATTTTGTTTATATAGATGATGACGACGATGACGTTACGTCCACAATTCGTGCCAATGCTGGACCTCAGACAGATTCAAGTACTGCAGAAATTAATGATCTAAGGAGAAGGAATGACCTGATGGACATAACAGTGTCTAATATGAATGTATTTTAATTTATTGTATTTTAATTTATTGTATGAAAGAATGACCTGATGGACATAACAGTGTCCACAATTTGTATGAATGTATTTTAATTTTGTTGGTTGAATGAATGTAGACTCTGTTAACAGTGTCTAATATTTAATACAAAATTTGGTCTATTGTTTGAACATAACAGGTACTCCAATAATTTGTGTAACACATGAATGAATGAATGAACTTGTTTGTTTGAACATAACAGGTACTCGAATAATCTGTGTATGAATGAATGAATGAAATTATTTGCTTGTTTGAACATAACAGGTATGAATGAATGGGCAGATGAATGAATGAACTTGTTTGTTTGTTTGAACTTGTTTGTTTGTTTGAACTTCATTGAACTTCGAGTAAACAACCCATATGGTTACAACCCATGGCCAACCATTGAAGTGCAGCAAAGAACAATGATGCAAAATGAACAGTTGATGCAAAATGGACAGTTCGCTGCTGTTGTTCTTATGGATATGCATGCAGTTGCCGATTGATATAAAATGTAAGCCAACTCCTGTACAGGTCAGAATGGACTCATCCATGAATTGACATAAAAAATTAACACCATGTGCCGGGTTGACAAAGTAAATTTGCTACAGCAGAATAGAAAGACTTCTTTTTTGATCAGCAAAATAGAACTTCATTGACAAAGCAACTCTATTGAATAATCACCCTAACACAAATAATCAGCAGCTTCACTCCACCACCAGCAGCTTCACTCCACCAGCTACAGCAGCATCAGGAGGCATAAAGCAACTAATGGACACACAAATAATCATCCTAACACATTCCATCAGAACAACATATCAACAGCAGCAGAGCAACTCTATTGAATAATGCAACCAACCAGAACAACATACACAGGTTCAAAATTTCCAGGTTCACTCATTAATGGTCCATGTTCAACAGCTGAAATTCAACAAATTCACTGAACATACAAAGTCAGTCATACTCTTTCAGTTAACATACACAGGTTACAATTACCACTTCGAAACTAAAAAAAAAATGGATCCCCGTCGATGTTCAAGTCAACAAAATTTGGTGGTACTATCGAACTTTGACTGGTAATATTGTTGAGCATTCCAGCTTGAGTATGAGATGTGCTTCCAATGTCGTCCCCAATTGTACTAACTGGTGCCTATAAAAATAAAGTAAATATTAAAAAAAAAAATTCACAAACATATTTACCAATATCAACCGATAACAAACAAAGTGCAATATATTAAGCCCGTTCAACACATACCGGTACATACATACTGTCTGCTATGGCATCCATAGAAGGATAATAGTAAGGTTCATTTGGCGGCACCTAATAATGAAATAGTAACACAAATGAATTAGTAATTTCAAGCAATAAAATTAAAAACCAAAAATGTTAACACCAAACAACTTTTATATTTAACGCGTACCGGTTCATACATAGTGTGTTGCACGCCTCCCGTACAAGGAAAGCTTAACTTACGAGGTTCACCTTGACGCACCTTTTGACCCTATAGCACAAGTTCATTGATGAATATTTGAAGTTTAACAAATTCAGCTATATATGATGTAGTGCAGAATGAAAAATGTACCGGATTATCCTTCTTATTTTTTCCCTTCAACCGATTCACTATTGCATCAACCTTGCTAACCTTCCGTTTCGTACATGGACGGCCTCTTCTTCGAGCAACCAAAGGACTGAGCACCTTGCGAGTCATGCTTTCTTTTCTAGTATTGATACGAGGCGGACTTTTTGGTGAAGTATGGAAAGGTGGTAAAGTACTACTTGAAGGTGGTAAAGTACTAGTACATGGCACATTACTCGCACTACTTGATTGAACTGTTCTCACTTCATCCTTGATTTTCATCAACCCAAGTTGAATGACTTTGTGTTTACCCATCATCATTGGTAGCAAGTTCTAGGATCTCATCCAACTGGAGTTCACATATCCATCAAAGAATGCATTCATACTCTCACTTCGTTGTGTAGTTGACATGCCAGCCCAAAATATGTCTTTAACATAGGCAGGAATCCACCTATGTCGCTCATGGTATAACACCCTCAACCACTCGTTATCATTCAAATTGAAATTTTCAATCATTGCTTCCCAATATTCCTGAAATTCATCTTTTGTGAATGAATCATAAACTGCATTACTCAAAGCAACCTTGATGGACTCATATTGCGAATATCCTCGTAATTTCTCCGGAATTTTCTTCATAATATGCCATAAACACCAACGATGCCGAGCCTGTGGGAAGACAATTTCTATGGCATTTTGCATAGCTCTGCACTGGTCAGTTATTATCGCTTTTGGAGGCGCATCTGACATACAACTTAACCATTCTTTGAAAAGCCAAACAAATGTCTTCGTGTTCTCATTACTTAACAACCCACAACCAAACAAAATTGACTGACCGTGGTGATTAACTCCTACAAACGGAGCAAGCGGCATATCATATTTGTTTGTCAAATAGGTTGTGTCAAAAGAGACAACATCCCCAAATGCTTTATAAGCCGCCCTACTCCTTACATCCGCCCAAAACAAGTTTCACATGCGACCATCTTCATCAAGGTCAATTGCCGAATAGAAGTTCGAATTTTGTTGTTGCATTTTATGAAAATAAAATGTAACTGATTCGGTGTCGCCTACCCCAAGTTTCAATCTTCTAGCATTTTGAATATAATTCCTTGCATCTTGTTCATCAAACGTTAATGCCTCATGTCCCCCCGCTTCAACAACTATGGAATGAAAATTCCTAGCCACCCCAATCCCTGCTGCATCGTTAACTTCTAGTCTCCTCTTCACCGGAGTAAGAGTCCTCTTATTCATTGGAAAATGCCGTGAGTCACTCGGAATAAAATCATGAGTGTGCTCAAGCACAATCGTGGTTAACTTATATCTTCCATCTTTTTGTAGAGTGGCTCTAACCCTTGCTTTACAATCTATTTTTGATGACAAAGATGGTTCGAGGGGATTTACTTCTGATTTTTTTGTTATATTCCGCGCCCGAGTACATTCAATTCCAAAGTACTTTACTTCCCCATCCCTCGTTACATTTTGTGTTCTATAAGATATAGCAAATCCAAGTTGTTTCGCATATTTTGCATAAAATGTGTGTACTTCTTGCTTGGAGATAAAACATATCCCCTTCTTCGATTCTTCAACTTCACCACTCTCATTAAATTCAACATTGTTATCTTGTTCTTCAACTTCCTCACTCACATTGAATGAATTATTCATTGAATCAATATCCATTGTAGCTTCAAAGTGGGTACAGATTCTTCTCAACAAAGTAAGTGACTTGATGTGGAGTGCCCTTCAATGGAATCTGATTATGGAAAACATAACTTTCAAGTAAGTGGATCACTGCCAAAATGACAATCTATATAAAAATACCTTGTTATGAGCATTAAAGTATAACAAGATAAAGCCATTGAATTGTAGTTCATAACAAGGAACTTATGAATCTGTTCATTGAATTAATTTATACAATGAGTTATGGTGTTTATAATTTTGTGCAGTGAATTATGGTGTTTATAACATATCATTGAATTTTGTAACAACAATATATTTCATAACAACAACAATGTGAATTTTGTTAATCTTGTTAAATTTTCATGAAGTTCCTTTTAAATTTTCATCAACAACAATGTTCCTTAATAGCACCAGATTTCATCAACAGAACATATTTTTCATCAACAATAATGTTCCTTAACATGTTTTGTACAGCAGCAGCAGATTTCATCAACATCTTGAATTAATGTTCCTTTTTAATTCTGTACAGCAGCAGATTTCATCAACATAACATGTTTTTTCATCAACAAAAAATAACCCATTTCCTACCAGTTTAACAGAACATATGGATTTATACTTTGACAAAAGGTGGGAAAAGGTCAAAATTCGGCATGCACATGGATTGAGCAATGTTTCCTACTAGTTTAACATCAAGATTTGGTGGGTGATTGCTCAATGTTTCCTATTAGTTTAACATCAAGATGATACCACATTAATTTTTATTTCACTCACCTTTCGGCACACACATGCAGCGGCGGCAGCACCTTTCGCACACACAGCGGCAGCAACCTCGTCAGCGGTACTAGTAGAAGCGGCAGCAGCTTTGTCGGTGACACCCTTTTGCACACACAACCTTGATCGGCGTCCTTTCTCTTACTCTCTATACTGTGTTCTTGTTTTTCTTCTTTTTTTTTGGAAACGAAATGTCTGAGTTTGGTAAGAATTACCTATGTACAAAGAAGAAAAGGTGGGTGTGAAAAGAAAGGTCAAAATTTGGGCCTTTCGACCCTTGACCTTTCAAGCTACGAAATGGGATTGATGTTTGGGATGACTTTTTGACTAATTACGAAAAGATGTGCAAAAAATAGAGAGAAAAGAGAATCTTTGACTTTTTAGTATGGGTTGTTGGTTTTTTGGCTAATTTAGTAACTTTTTGACTTTTTGGCTAAAACAGAGCCTTCCCAAACGAGGCCTTACTCTCCTTTACCTAAACATTTTATTTATTTATATTTTTTTTCAAAATTATCATATACATGTGCTTGCTTGCCATTAATATTCTCATTGAAAAGATAAGAAAATAGTTAGTTCCCACTTACTCTATTATGACAATAATTATATCCTTAAGGAATTAATCACTCTAATATTGCTAAGTGGCATCATTTTACTAAATGTTAAACTAAACCAGCTTCCACACTATTTGGTTATTTTTACTTCAAACAAAAAACAAAAAAAAAAAAAATCATAGAAAAGCTTAATTTGGATAACTTGGGTATAACCTTCACGACAAAAATAAACAAATAGAAAGATTTTTAGTCCGAGGAAGGCTTAACCTAAAAAAACATTTGAGTAATGTTACAAACATAAAAATTACCCAAAATTTAAATAGTGTAAACCAGATTCATTATTGATATGGACCTACAATACATCAATCTCCATCATACACTCACTTTGTGGATAAATTTATGGGAAAAAATCTTGGATTTGCATCTTTTCTGAAAACATTTTAGTATTTTACACTAGAAATTGAAGATCCTAAAACAATCAAGGAAATCTATTTCGTTTCCAAGCACCAAATAATGTCGCTATAGTTTGTCCACAACCCAAGTTCATGTTGGATGCCTTCTGCAAAGAGCACTAGAAAGTCTGCAAATACCCATGTGATGATTGATCTCTTCCAAGCTTTTTGGTTGTTTGTTTTTTTTTTTTTGTTTTTTTTTGAAAGTATTTACAAGGTACAATAGGCTATGTGGTCCAAATTTTAAACTTGATCACAAAGCAATTCTGGAGAATCATCTTCAATTGCAAATCTCTTGATGAGGTTCCTTTCAACGTTCAGCCAGTCCCACATGGACCAAGCTTGCTCAGTTTTTTAACACCACACAAGAAAAGCATTTATGCCCCCACCGGCTTAGAACAATTCCGACACTAGGTTACGATTTAAATTAGTCAAAAAATCATATCAAAAAACAAAAAAAAAAATCAAAGATTCATTCTCATTCTCTACATTTTTTAGGTCTTTAATATAAAAAAATATCAAAAAACTATTCTCAAACACTTCAATTGCGTTTGGTAAATTTTTGTAAATATGATTTGAAAATATGAATTGTATTTTAAATTTGTGAATTTTGAAATTATGATTTAAATATGAAAAATTTGTTTAGTGAAAGAGTTTTAAAAATAATTTTGAATTGAGTGAAAAATTTTTAATGTAACATACACTATTTTAATACAAAAACTTACAACTCATAATCAAACATACAACTCAAAATTCTATTAAAGCACATAAGAAAAATTTAAAAATTCAAAAAATATTTTTTTCAAATATATAAAAATTAACATATGTCAATTGTCAAAAAAAAAAAAAAAAATTGCGCCGTTCCGGTCAACCGGCCGGTAGGACGACCGGTGAGGCCAAATTTGAAAAAAAAAAAAAAATTGAAAATCACACCCCAAACAGAGTTTTGTAAATATTGTGAAAATGTGATTTGAGTGTTGTATCCAAACATTATGTTAGAATGTGGGGGTAGAAATATAGTTTGAAAATCATTCCAAACAGAGCCTTCAATTTTTCACCTCATCTTTTAACCAAAAACCCTACTAAAAAAATCACTTCTCAAACAAACCCTAAATAGGCATTTCGCCTAACCACTTTGTAATCCAACAACACACTACTCCTAAAATTGATTTGCCTACTCTCTAAGCAGAGAAGACAACAGGACAAGTTTGTGGTAGATTTGTAGGGCAAATAGGGAATAAAGCAAATCGAGAAGGTGGTGGGAATATTAATAAAAACCCGCAGAGGGTGGTGGATAGAATGGGATGGGAAAGAAAAACTCGTCTCCACCCCACTTCCTCATTAGTGCAAGGAAAACCAGCACAGGGCGAGGCGGGGGATGCAGGGGCCAAGCAAGATGAGAAAAAATTGTCATCCCCACAAAGACCCTCCAAATGTAACTAGCTAAGAGATGATAGGCATAATGCTTACCATGTTGCGTATCTTGTTGGTGAGTTCCATTTTGTGCCAAAACTAAGCTAAAATGCTCTAAATGTCTCCCCTATTGGAGATGCTTTTATAAAAGAAACCAGTAGTTAAGTCGGATGCTCTATCCAAATCTTCCCCTATTTCTTATCACAAGCCAGCTCTGTATCACATGATGAGGTCCCTCTAACCGATCGTGTGGCAGAGAAGAGCCTTGGGATAGATCCTATGACCATCTAAACTACACAAGTCAAAACTCATCAAAATTAGGCCCTATGGCCATATATCAACCATAATCTCGAATGCAAACAAATTCCATTGTAAAGATAACACCATTCCTTGATGTTTCTTAAAAATCACAACCATCAAAAATTAGAAATCCAAACACAACACCATTCCGACAAACCTACGGATCAAATGATTCGGACTAAACCATTTTCAGTTACTATAGGAACAAGTAAAACTACACAAAACCGACCTCCCAACTGAGAAAAGATGGAAAATGCAGACAAGCAAACTGAGAATCTTGTCATCGATGCAGAAAAAGCGGGGATGGACATTTTACAACATGCCAAAGACCTAAATCAATGGTGGAAGCATTTGCTCCACAACAAAAATAATAAAATAAAAGAACTGAGACGAGAAAAGAGGACAACAAAAATAAATAAAGAAAGAGACAGCTAAACTCAGAACCAACATGCATGTGTAATAGATAATTAAACAACAACAGATCTCAAAATGTACATGAATTCCCTGAACATGTTGGTCACTGTTCCCCCTGAAGTGCAGAAGAAATCCATTCTGAAGCAGCTGTTTGAGTGTCAGATTCTACATGTGGTGAAACAGAGAGTGGAGTTACTGCAACCTGTTCGGAAGTAAACACAGGAATCAGCAAAATAAGATATGGTTAAAGGTTTTTGGATTCCAAACAAACATGACTTTTACTGTCTGAGTAAATCAAATGAGCCTACACTCATTTCCAAAACGTTTTCACAATTTTCATGCTCTTAACACAACCAGATCACACAATTCCCTATCGGCATGAAAGTAAACGCTACAAATTAGATCAAAACCATTTTATATTTACATGGCTAAAAATGCCCCCAAAAACAAAAAGAGATCGTGCAAAACTCACAAATCCATTTTCAAGTGCTCTGAAATCGAGATCCTCATCCACATCTTCCTGCTCCTTGTCCACAAACTGCAAACACCAATGATTACCTGAGTCATCCCTTCATTAACAACTAAACCATTAACAGAAAAACAAACGGAGACCAGTAAAAAAATGGCAAGCAAAATCACTATACGTATGAAGAAAAATTTACACGATGGATCAGAACTTAGAAAACGTATGCTTCAACTACTCTGCCAGTATTTCATTGAACTTGTTCTTGGATGCCCTAGGAATATTACATTGTAGCGAACTTCTACATAGATTAAAAATAAATAAATAAATTTGTAAATCTAGCTTCAAATAATAGTTTTAATTTTCAAGTAAGACTCCAAAAAGGAAATACCTTCGAGAGAGAAATAGAAAGATCATTCTGGAAAATATTGTTTCATATGTGTATTAAGGCAACTAAATATTATTTGACAGCAACTTCAAATGACTCCTACATTGTTTCCAAACAAAGCCCTAACAGACAAACTTTTTTTACCTCCAATCGAAAGTACTTCATTGTTCGGTTAGAATCAGATTTTCCTGCAACTCCAACTGACTCAACAATCTCAATATTTTTTTTCTGCGTGATCATACGTCGAGCTGCACCCTGAAGGAAACAAAAAGGTGAAAATTTGAGAAAGACACTGAAAAGGTCACAATGATCCTCATGGTAAAAGGACAACTTATTAAATCTTGTGAAAAACTACTCACAGCAGCAGAAGCGTCTCGACTGAGCTGAGCAAGCTGCATGCCAAGGCTTTGCTGATTGGACATGAAACGCCCTGCAGACCTGTTGGCTGAGATGGCTAGCCAGCTTGGTGTGGATCTCCACAGACTTTGCTTGGTCAATTTAAAGCCCTGTCCAGAAAATGAATGAAACACAAACATATGAATGAAAGAAACCATTTTTAAAGAATACAGCCAGGAAGTATTTCATATTTTGAAAGAATAAGAGTATTTCAGAAGCCACTGGAATCGTAAAACAACATGCATGGCACAGTCAAAAAGATCAAGTTGTATCATATCAGCACAAGAGAGATTTGCACCATTGCCACTGATCTAATGCCACGTGCAAATGGTGTATTAGGATAGCAACCATTTAGGTGATGCTTGCTTAGGAATGGTGCCCCTTGCTGCAAGACTAAGGAGCAATGAAACCTATCCTCCTGCAGTGCTCTACAGTCAAATTTTCTTTTTCATTATAACATGGAGACCAGAGACGAATTTTCCATGATATTAAGTCATTTTCCATTTAGGAAGAAAACAATGAATAGGCATCACTGAAGAAATGTATGTTCTCTTCTTTTCTTTTCCTTATTTTTGAGTAAATCGAGAAACAATTTATATTATCTAAACTAGGGGAGGGCGTATTGGAGACAGGAGGGGGAGAGGGTTGAACCCCTGACTGGATGGCAGCCTTTCAAGTTCGTAAACATTGAGCTACAAGGCTTGCACCACGCTGTTCTTTATGAAATGTTTAAAATTTGCCAGCTCTAGCTCAGCAAGTAAAGTTAATGTAATAGGAAAAACATCAGAAAGGGAGGTAATATCATCATCTGCCAACACTATAGATGCCAGCCAACCAACCAATTGATTAACCAAGGGAAATTATATAAGCTAAATTTAATAGTATATCATCAATAAAGGACATGCTCTGTGAAGTTCGTCAAGCATTTCATCAATGTATTACAGTGTTTTGAGTATAAAAAACAAAAATCTGATGTAAAATACTTAAAAGAGGCAAACCTTGTTTTGCAGAGGAGATGTTGGAACTTCAATATTCAGTAAGCAACTTTTGGGGAAAATTCCCTTCTCTATATCTCTTATGGCTGCGTTTATTAAAGGTAAACTGACAGCCACAGCATCCTTGAAATCACTATCTTGACTTTCATCCTTCTTCCTGAAATAATTGATGATAACAATATGTTAGACATATCAAGAGAGATAAGAAAACAACAAGAAATAACAAGAGTAGAGCACCAAAACCCACCAGTTCAGTGAAATTGACATAGATGGTACACCACTCATCAATGACTCTCTAGCTCCAGCTACAACACCTGAGTAGAACCTGGAGAATTCCCAAGCAATAAACATAATTGATAATTCTTCAACACCATACATAAACCATGCATTAAAAAGTAATAACAAAATTCAATTCAACCCCCATTCGCATCTTAACAACTTCAGCAAACTGTCGACGATAGAGTGCGAAAAATCCACAAGCAAAAAAATTATATATATATATATTGTAAGACGAGCCCAAAAGTAAAATTGTCTAGGCAAGCTGGATGATCTAGCTACACACAAATCACAAAACCGCATGCAAATTACTTACATGTGATGGCCACAACTTGAACCCTTGTTGATTCCACTTATTACCTAAACATCAGATCAAAAACTTAAATCATTGGACAATGACCAAAAACAAAATGCATCAATAATCCCATATATGACAGCATACCAGCAGAGGCTTTGACCAAGAAAATAGTGCCCCAGATAATGCTAATGACACACAATCCACAGGAGTCCCTGAATGAAAGAGTCAACACCAGACCCTAAATACCATTAAAACCACAAATAAAGCACAAATTTTTGCATCAAATTTGCAGAATTTTAAAGCATAAAAGATTTAGCAACACAAAATAAAAGATCAAGCTGCAACTAATTGTCAAAATCAACACAATTCAATCATTTAAAACACTGTTAGAACAAATCCCAAATTAGGATGCATAAAATCGAATAAGATCAACATGATAAGCCCATACCAGAAACTTCATAAGCTGTAGCCCCACTGATCTCGGTGGAAGTCACTGCAACTGTTTCTCTAAGCGTCACAGAATGACCCGACATTGATTTGTCCCTACAACCAATCCACCAACACATTAAAAAACTGCAATTTCACAGATGAGAGAGAGAGAGAGAGAGAGAGAAACGGAGATAAAATTAAGAGAATCAAGCAACCAATAGAGACAAAAAAAAAAAACAAAACAAAACAATTATCATTCATATATTCAAAAACCAACACTACAAGTCAAAGAAACTCGCACACCCAGATGAGAAACTTGACCAAACTACACACACATATATAGCAACAAAATAGAAGGATTAAAACTTTAAAGAGAGACCCAAAATTGTAACCTGAGATAAAATTAAGAGAAACAAGCAACGAATAAAAAACAATTATCATTCAAAGATTCAAAAACCAATACTATTATAAGTCAAAGAAACTTGCAATTTTAGCTATACAATTATATTTATATAGCAGCAAAAGAGAGAGAATCGGAATTTGAAAGATAAACCCACGATTCAGGAGCGCAGACATGGACATTGCAGAGGCCTTCACGGACCAAAGCTTCAACGAGGAAAGTAAGGCCAGGGGAGTCAATTCCATCGCCATTGGTGACCAAAACAATAGGCTTCAAATTATCAGAATCGGAATTGGGTTCAACAATATCGGAAAGCGAAGGGGCAGAAGAGGGTTCGGGGTTCTTCGATTGCTCGTCGTCGGTGCCCTTTCTGCTGAGAAGAACTTCCTGGAGATTGGAGACCAGACCTGGAGGCAAGAAATTGTTCTTCATAGCAGAAGTGGTGGTCATTTTCTAGAGAGAGAAAGGGGTGATGATGAGAGAGATTGAGAGGAATAAGGTATGTTTGTGGTGTTGAAGATTGGAATTGTTATCAAAACCCTAGAGAGAAAGAGAGAGAGTAGTGAAAAGGATAGGAAGAAGAAAAGAGGAGTAGAAAATGGAAACTGGTAGCGATTGATTTGATGCGACAGAGAGAGATGGATAGACCGGTAATTAGGGCGTTACTTAGAGAGAGAGAAACTGTTATATAGTACAGAGATCGAGGAAGTAGGGCCACCGCTCAATCGCACCGATTCATCGGCTAATCGTAGATGAGTTTGATTGAAATTTTCAAATATGAATAATATTATATGTCCTAATTAACATATTAATTTGTGTATCAATTACTAAAAGGAAAATTTAGTTATAAATTCTTTTTAGTTTTCTTTCATTGTTAAAAAGATTAAGAGAAAAATTATATTTTTTAAATTCCTTCATAATTATAAAGTCTTGTATAAAGGACAAAATTTATTATTTAAATATTTTATAGGACTATTATACCCTCAACTTCTGCATATATAATCAGCTTCGTCATCAATAGTTGCATCTTCCAAGTTTCAGCAGAAGGTCGTCGACAAGCTGCTGCCATAGTCGCGTCTTCCAAGCTTCAGCAGAAAGTCCTCTCTTCATTTTAATAATCAGCAACGATGTGGCTTTAAATATGTTGAAATTGAATGAAGATGTCGTTGGAGATTCGAAAGCCAGGGTTTCAGAGCAGATGGAGATTCAGAGTGCGGTGGAGATGGCTCAATTGGAAGCGGAAAAGAAACATGATGAGGTTGTTAATGAGATGCTGGCGATGTTGAATGCGAAGGCTGAAGCTTCGAGATTGAAAGAAGTTGAACAGGAGGTTGGGAAGGATGTGGATGAGGAACAGTAAAATATATATATATATATATATATATTTGTGTGTATGAGTGTTGTTGAACACATGTATTCTTTTTCATTGAGATGTGTGATTATTGATCGAGTTTTAGAAGTTTTTCGTTTCAATTAGATATGTGGATTTGTTGATTAATTTGTTTTGTTTTTGTTTGTTTGTTTGTTTTTTTTGAAGTTTTTTTTTCTCAATTAGATATGTTGATTTGTTGATTAATTTCTTTTGTTTTTGTTTGTTTGTTTGTTTTTGATTTATTTTTGTTATTTTTTATCTAATTTCATTTGACAGAACCAGAGTAAAATTTTACTCTGGTTCTATAGCTCTGTTTTTTTCATTTGACAGAATCAGAGTAAAATTTTATTTTTATACAGAGTAAAATTTTACTTTTGTGTAGAGTCTAACATTTTACTAGTTTTTCAGAGTAAAATTTTACTTTTAGTTTCAGAGTGTAACATTTTACTCTTATTCAGAGTAAAATTTTACTTTTATACAGAGTAAAATTTTACTTTTGTGTAGAGTCTAACATTTTACTAGTTTTTCAGAGTAAAATTTTACTTTGTAAAATTTTACTTTTATACAGAGTAAAATTTTACTTTTAGTTTCAGAGGGTAACATTTTACTCTTATTCAGAGTAAAATTTTACTTTTAGTTTCAGAGTGTAACATTTTACTCTTATTCAGAGTAAAATTTTACTTTTATACAGAGTAAAATTTTACTCTGAAATACACTGTGAAGATGGCTTAATAGGAGAGCTGATAGATATGAGGGTAATATAGTAAAAGAAACAAGTTTTAAAATATTAGGGGGTTTTGAAAGTACTTATATAATTCTTATCTTTTTGAAAGACAAATTAGATAGTGAGGGGGCTATCACCAAATCCCCCATAATATGAGATAATTTTTTTAAAAAAAGTAAGATTTATAATATGATTAATGAGTAGAATATAATACTATTATAACTAATGTTAATACACTAATTAGTGTATGTAACACACCGTTTGAATAATATTATATATGTATTAATTAGTATATCAATTGATGATGAGTGGTACTATATACACCAATTTGTATACTAATTAGTGTATCAACACTAGTTATGTCATTATTATTGATCTCACTCACAAAAAATTACAAATACCAAAAATACCTTAAATTATACCACATCGTCAATTAGTATACTAATTAATGCACATAGCATTAGTCATTGACGATATGATATAATTTAAGATATTTTTAGTATTTATAATTTGTATAATAAGTGAGGTCAATAATAATATCATAACTAGTATTGGTACATTAATTGGTATACTAATTAGTGTATATAACACCACCGTTAAAATTTAGAGCTATTTTGGAAAGTGAGTTAAAAGTCACTTCTCAGCTTTTAACTTACTTTTCTCTCTCACAAAAAAACTAAAAAAATTAAAAAAATAACTTTTAACTATTTTTTCAAAACACCTCTAATGTAATAATGATTCATTTATATAAATTTTCTTTTGAATCTTATGAATAAAAATTTTACTAATAAAATTTCAGACTCGTATCGGTAAGAATTTCATTCATAAGATTTGGAAGAAAGAAAATTATCTAGATAACTTATTAATTAAATTTATAATTCATATTTGAAATCCTTCTATGTTAACATTAATATATGTTTCTTACTTCTACTGAAATATCAAAATAAAAAATCAATATGAGAGAAATTTGTAATATAAAATTTATTATAAATTAGTATTATATATATAACAAATATTATGTAAAATTAGTTAATGTTATATACATAAAAAAATATTATGTAAATTAGTATTTATATTATATAAATACTTGATAATTGTTTAAGATTATTTTTCAATCAACTAGTAAATTAAAATTGCCCAAATCATCGTTTAGTTATTTATTAATGGGCATGGCTTCTGTTCAGTCCTTAATCGGACTGGACCGTACTGTTGGGCCCGTGAGGGGCTACCAAAGATCCCTTTTTGATAATCTAAATCGTTTAATGTGTAGAACTCGTCGAGTACTATATATCTGTAAAAAATCACGTTAATCGGATATCGATAGCTATGTGATCAAATCAGTTTTGTATAAAAAAAATGGACGGTGAATGAATTAACGATTGACAAAAATCTGTTTTGATCACATAGCTATCGATATTCGATTAGCGTGATTTTTTATAGGCATATAGTACTCGACGATTTCTACACATTGCACGGTTCAGATTATCAAAACGACCAATAGCATGATCCAATCTGATTAAGAACTGGACAGAAGTCATTCCCTTTATTAATCTACCATTCATAATTTAGTTTATAATTGTACCTTCAAATCGTATCGAACTATATCGCGCACTATCCTAAAAGAGGTACATGATTTTGAGAGAGGGGAAGAGACTGTCTTTAGAGAGGGAAATTACATTAGTTTTTTAAAAAAATCAATTCACATAATTTAATTTATTTTTGTCAATAATTAGGGTTGCAAATAAATTTAGTCAAGCCAAGTTGAGTGTTCAAACCCGACTTGTTTGTTTTATCAACTTTGAAATTTTAACTATAGTTTGGCATGTAATATTCAAGCTCGAGTTTAGTTTGAAATTTGATAATGATTTTTTTAAATAAAAATAAGTGATTCGAATTGACAATGGCTTCCTTCCGGTCCTATATTGGATGGGAAGGTGTTGTTGGGCATGTGAGGGTTCATCACATATTTTTTTTTGATAATTCGAACCGTTGAATATGTAAAACTTGTTGAATATGTAAAACTTGTTGAATACTATATGCCTATAAGTAATCAAGTTGATCAAATATCGATAGTTACATGATTAAATCAATTTTGTATTAAAAAAATAGACGTGAAAAAATAAACGGTTGACAGAAAACTAATTCGATGAGATAGCTATTGATATCTAATCAACGTAATTTTTAACAAGCATATGGTACTCAACGAGTTTTATACATTAAATAGTTCAGATTATCGAAAACGGGACCCGTAGTAGGCCCAATAGTGCCTCCAATCCGATTTAGAACTGGAAGGAAGCCAGGCCCATTCAAATTTATTCGAGCTCAAGCTCAATTTGTTTATTAAATAAGCCTAAAAATCTGACTTCAACACTTTTAATTAGAAACTCTTAATGAGCCAACCTTATAAACAGCTCATTTCGTTTGTAATCATATAAATGAAAAAATAATTTGTTATCTCGTTTATATTGAAATATATATTTTTTATGTATTATTGTGTTTTCATGTTATTTATATAAGTTTTGGTCTCTTTAACAATACTAGAAAGGGAAGTTTGTGTAATTATGTTAAAAATATGAAATTTTTGAATATTTTCTCAAAATCTCAAGGAAATTCAGTGTAATTCACCCAAAAAATATGAAGTTTTTATTTTTTGTAAATAATTTACAAAAATATCTATAAAAAAAGTACTAAAGAAAAACAAATTTATGTCTTTACAAAAAATTTCCAGATTTCTTCGACAAATATTTTTTTGTTTTTTAATAATTTTTTACAAAATTTGTTTATAAATATTTAGATTAGAAACACAGAAAAATAAAAATCACCAAAAAACAATACCATCTCATTAGAAGAAATTCACCCAAATTTATCAGCACCGTGTAATAAACAAAAGAGGAGTGTCAAAATATTCTCTAACTTGCTGCACTCATCAATTTTTAATTTTGGATTCCATCAAATTTATACATTTTCTTAGTTTTTTTTATATTTTATTTTAAAGATTGGATAAAAATAATAATGAGTAACATTTTCTTAGTTTATTATTATTATTTGTTATGATCATAATTTGGAATGCATTTGCCAATTACCATTGCTTATGGTAAAAAAAAAAACATGCAACTAAAAACATATTGTTAATTTCATAGTTTATAGGGAGCATTAATTCATTAAAATAAATAAATATAAAATAAAATAAAATAATTATTCCTTAAATTCTCTATAAAATTATCATTCTTTTATAACAGTGAATAATGATATAATTTATAATGTATATTTTATTATTTTTTTAGGTGAACCAAATGCGAAAACGGATATCAATAATGGCTAACATATTTTGAAACCTTAAGCTAAACATCAAAATGATGTCTCATCGTATTAGATCTTTGAAAATTGGAGCCTTCGGTAACCCTTGTTTTTTTAAGAAAATTCTCAATATGGTTCACATGATACACTAAATAACTTAATAGTTGAGCCATCTCTTATGGACATCAGGATAGAATGATCATTTCAGCGAATCAACTATAATCTAAAAAAGATAAGACGATTGTTATGAATTTTGAAGGCAAAAAAAAAAAAAAAGAATTACTTTCCTCAATATCAAACTAAATGCATATTTTGAAAGAAGTGCTTTTATGGTTTTTTTATTTTTATTTGGGTAAATTACAAATACATCCCCCGACGTTTGATTAAAATACAAATCACCCTCTATGGTTCTGAAAATTACATTACACCCCTGAGGTTTCTAATTTCATAAAAATCGTCCCTTTTATTAATAAATTATCAAGTTAAATAATAATTTTTAATAATGTTAGAAATATGTTTCAATTAATAATGTAGGCAATTTTATTATTGTATAGGAAAATAATTATGAATTTTATTTTTTTAATTAATTCTATTAAATAAAAAATTATGACAAGAAGATATTCATACTTTTTCAAATCACAAAAGATAATATGTATTTAAAAAAAAAATATCGAGAGATGTATTTATAATTTACCCATTTTATTTTTATAGATTTCCTCATAAATTAAGCTATTGGTGAGTTGATGATGTTACACTTTAGATTCAATAATTGGATGGTATCATTGGCAGCTCATTTGTGCAGGCTTATATACATGCCTTTTTTTCAAAAGGAAAAAGTGGTGGCCCATTAATGTTCCTCCCTCCTTGGTTCATTGGATGGGATCCATATGAATTGTCAAAATAGTTAAATTTCTTTTATTTCAAGTATATACTATATAATAAACACGATAAGCCAATTCTCCATCTGCTGCTGCTGCATATCCTTCACAATTGAAAAAATAATACAAATTTAATAGTTCTTCTACCAGAAATTTTTTTTTTTAAATCAAATGCAACCTTCTCACATAGGCATGGGATCACAAAAAAATTGTGTTCTTAAACTTTTTCATTCAAGTTCTAGTTGATCTCTAGGCACATAAAAAAACCTTTGAATAAAAAGCCAAATAACATGGCATTATGATGTTAAAAAAAAACAGTGTAATTTAAAAATAATGATATATAAATAGAAAATTCATATAAATTTTCTATATAAAATATGATTTAAAATAAACTTTTCACTTCAAACAAAAGACTAATTAAAATGATTTTTATTTATAAATATCTCACTGTTACATAATTTTTGTAACAAATTTTGTATAAATATTTTTAATTAAAAAAAAATTAAACAACTCCTGCTCAAATTCATGTAATGCCATCACTACAATAAAGAATTTGTGCTATTAATAATAAGAGAATTTATATCACAGGATAGTCCTCTGTGATCCCCCTATGCTCAATTTGAAAGTGACCCTAGATACAACAGTAAACCACAGCCAACAATATATATATATATATATATATATAAATAAAACTGAATAATTATTTAGACACAGAAATAAAAGAAAAGTGTTTAGTTATGGAGATTTTAACTTGAAAGATGCTAAACAGTATAACAATTGCTTGTATTTACAGAAAATTATCACCCTCAGAATACAGATGCCAGGCTTGAAACCACAGCTTCTAAAATTTAATTTCCCTTCTAAGAAAATAGAGGAACCAAAATCTCAAAATATTATCATCCAAGTACAATTTGATTCTCTCAAAATTACAGCACTATTTAATGTCTCACCTAGTACAGCTACAAAGAAGGTTTCCTCAAATCAGAATATGCAACTTGCACTATAAAAAGCATTCAACAATCAACTACACATTCCAAAATGATATGCACTCTTTACCAAAGGTTACAGACTCAAGTCGGAGTACTCGAATACTTATTTTGATCCCAACACAACACCCGTTATATAACTCACTTTTGGTAAGGATGGTACCTTCCAGTCGCAGAACCAGCAATCCCATATCCTTTGCCGCCACCGCTGCCACCATATCCTTTACCACCACCCCCATACCCAGCACCAGCACCAGCACCGGCACCAGCACCATAACCACCAGGGGTACCATAGCCAGTACCTCCATATCCACCGCTGTTATACATGGGCCCCCAAAACCCAAATCCATACCCATATCCACCATAGCCACCATAAAACCCTGCAGCTCCTCCACCATAGTTTCCTTCGTAGCTGCCATACCCACCACCATGCCCACCATATGCGCCACCATATCCACCATCATGCATTTTCCCATTGTATCCACCACCACCACCACCACCACCACCACCATATTCAGCTGCACCATTGCTAAAACCACCATATGATTTTGAAGCCCTGCCACCATGATGCATCCTAACATCATTACCATAATCACTTCCAGCTCTTTTTGGCACAGCCTTCTTTATTTCCACCTAGAGAATTTTACATTGAAGCTTAGATCATTTTGTTTTCCCAAAAAGAAAGTAGAATGCTATGTGACCAATTTCAATTTTAATCAGACTTTTTTGACTTACTTGTTTGCCTCCAAGTTCATGAGTTTGGCCATTAGAGAAAATCCTTTCAACGGTTTCTTCATCATCAAAGGTGACAAACCCAAAGCCTCTTGATCGCCCGGTGTTATGATCCAGCATAATCTGATGCTCAGTGATACTACCATAGGAAGAGAAATATTCCTTCAGGTCGTCTGCAATGTTAACCCACATAGTAAGTCACAGGCACTTCATTTCATCAAAAATAGATTTTTTGAAAAAAAAAAAAAAAAACTAGAATGTATTTATTACCTTCGGTCAAAGATGGTGGTATACCACCAACAAAAATTTTCTTTGTTTTTTGTTCTCGTTTTACTTGCATTTGCATGTCCGCCCTAGGGACCGTCCTCTTCACTTCCACCTGTTGGAATGGACTTCTCAGAATAAACTTTGGAGGGACATAAGAATTACATGACATCTTGATGGGGAAATGAAGTAAATATTGTGTAATCATCAATCACAGACAGGGTTCATACCACTCGGCCATCTATAACATGGTCTTCCTCCAAAACCTTGTCAGCAACTGCAGGGTCAGCGAATGTTACAAATCCAAACCCTCGTGATCTTCCAGTAAGCTTATCCAACATTATTACCGAATCTGTGATTTCTCCATACTTGCAGAAGTAATTTGAAAATGTCTCTGGAAACCAAATAGCCAAAATATAGAATGTGGACTAAAGGAAAAAATTTCCGTCCTCAAAAGAATAAAAAGAAGTGTATGATAAATAAAGACCCATAAAAATAAATAAAATAAAAAAGCAGGAAAATACATCGAAATGGTTCAAATTTTCATCTCTTAGGACTAAAAAACATGAAGGAGCTTTCTCTTGGAACGTAAAAGTTCGAAGTACCCCCATCCACCACTGTACATGAAATCCTTCCAGCCACTAGCAACTAAAACATATTGTCAAACCAATACACTCATCACAAAGAAAACAGATGACACACATGGGAAGTTCAAATGCCTAACAAAAGTTTACATCAGTCCATTTCTTCTCTTCTCACAGTTCATTTGAAATAACTACATTTTTTCAAAAAAAAATTCATAAGCTGCATTAAACACTTGCAGAATTTCATAGAATATAACTGTTTCATATTTGCTAATGTTCGTGGCAATGGCTCTATTATGTTCATGAACCTAAAGACAAAACTCAAGATATTGGATAACATGAAAAATAAATATTTTTTAGTATTCTTCTTTTAAACCCAACCTAACCTTGGGCCTAGACTTAAACCTCAAACAAGGTCAGAAAAGCTTGGACTCACCATATAAAGACACAGTATGAATGAAATTCCGATACAAAGCGCCAATTAAGTGTAGGTCATTTACAAACCAAACTAGCACCAGTTTACAAATTTAAATGCTTAAATAATAATACTTCAGCTCATAAGCTCAGTCAGAGCTTAGACCAGGTATCTATTTCTAGAGCTGCATTTTAATTTGACAAAAACTGAGCAAGAAATACAGGGCAAAGACAGCCTTAGAAACCATTAACCAGTCTATCACAAATTTTACGACAATCAAAGAATAATAAATGGTCAATCAAAAGACAGATATCTATGTAGAATACAACAAATCTTTATCCTCAATTCTTTCAATCAATATAAAATGAGGATCGACACATTTTCACAAACAGCTCACCAGTCTTTAATTGTGTAGAGCGTAACACACCTTTACTGTGGACGAATTTGAAGGTTATCACACTTCTTCATTACTTTTGTCAAGTAGATTCTTAATACTTCCATTTCTGACAATACTACACTAGAAACCAATTATCCCCTGCTTAGGGCTTACTATGGTGGTATGAGTCAACACCCCACTAGTGTTTACTACGATTGGCCTATGACATTATCAAATCACAGAAACCAACAAACAAAGTATCCCCTCCTAGTTATGAAAGTCATTCTTTGTTGAACCTTGACATAAATAATCAACAACAATCATAATTTTCCAACATGCACAGACAATTGAAACTTTTAGAGGCCAGAAGCTCATGGTTATAATTTTAGGTCAATTGAAACAATAATATAACCACCCAAGATGTTGATAGGTCATCTTTCCACAATCTAAGTCCTCATCTTTACCAACCAAGAATTAAACAACCATAAAGTGTCAAAGTTCACATTACCTAGTCCAGCAAGAAGTGTTTACATCTAAGAGAACTCCTTGCAGTTATTTTTCAATTGTGTGTCAGTACTAGCTGCCTCATTCTTTACTTTGCTGAAGTGACTTGACTATAATTAGGTCTGTTTTGGGTGTTGGTATTGTTGCATGACTAATTTTAAAATTTATCTTCAAACATGATAGCATAGCAGAAATGTCATCTTAATCAAATATAATCCATCTGTAACACAAGTTCAGAAGAGGAGTTCATGCAAATTTCTTGATAGATATGAGTGATTACGCTACACGGCTCTGCAACAAGGGACAAATTTAGAAGGCATTTTTTGAAAATATAAGCAAACTAGGTTTTTGTTCTTTTGTTCTGCTGCTAGACACTCTCGACAAACAAAGCAATTATCAGTGGACACTGGACATGGCAAACGCATATCACGGAAACCAGTATTGTCTCTTGTCCAATATGAACCACTGCCAGTCTACTCCTAAGTCCTGATTACATATCTCCATCTCATATGGTAATTAATATTGGCTTTATTATAATTGAGGCAGTAAATAAAACCATTCACAATTAAGTCAAATAAAAACTAAATTGTTTCCTAGTCTTTATTTTAGAAACTTAATTACAAAAAGGTCCAAAAAAAATGGACAAAAATGTCTATTTGGCTAGCCTTTCCCTTCCCCATTACAATTACCAATCCTCCTCCATGTTCTACAACCACCACCACCCATCACTCCCCTTCCACCGCTGCAATGCCACTTTCCCCTCCTCTTTCCACCATCGTTGCTCACAGCATAGTGTTTCAATGTCATCAATGTACTGATATGCCCCACATACTCAACCTGAATACTTGTTCATCAAAAATGGCTCCCCAAATCTTCCATTACTACCCACACATGAAATTTTCCAAAGCTATCTATTCAATCCCCTTGAATTGCATGTGCTTCTCCTTCCTACTGATTGCCCCAAGCCCTCACCGCAGTTCGCCTGCTGCTCCATCAATTGTAGTGGAATTGATGTCATCACCGAGTGCGAGTGATCTGAGAGCTCAAGTCAATCTGAAATGAGATTCAGTCATCGGCAATTTGTGTCTGGTTTGAGAGGGGGTTGTTGAGGCAATGGAAGGGGGGAAGAGAGCAGTGGTTTACAGAGACAGATGAGGGCTGATGGCTATACAGGGGAGGGAAACGCAAAGACAAAAAAGACATTTTTGTCCATATTTTTTAACAGTTTGTAATTAAATTTTCAAAATTTAGATTTGGAAATAAACTTTTATATTTAATAGACTTAATTATGTATAGTTTCTCATTTACTACCTAAATTATGGACTTCGGCCTCGTTTGGGAAGCGACCGGTTTAACCAAAAAGTCAAAAATTTACTAAAAAAGTCAAAAAGTCAAAAAACCATACCAAAAAGTCAAAGATTCTCTTTTCTCTCTACTTTTTACACATATTTTCGTAAAAAGTCAAAAAGTCATACCAAACATATTAGTTTTTTTTAGCTCATATTTTATCCAAATAGCCAAAAAGTTACTAAATTAGCCTGTTCCCAAACGAGGCCTTAATTATGTATAATAATTCCTTAAATATTTCTACACTTTCAATAAATATTGGCTAATATTTAATATTAAACTATTCAAAAAGTCAAGTTTTGAGCAGAGCCAACACCAATCACCCCCTCCCCTTCTTTCAAAAAGAAAACAAAAAAGAAAAGTACTCAGAATAACTTCACATACTATGTTTTGAAAGAAAGTCGTTTGCAATGTTCAATCCTTTTATCTTTCATACTTCAAATATAATGTATATTTTGTGCTTTACAATACTGCATAAAACAAGTGAAAAACTTCAAGAATGTATATTTTCCATGGTTTAATTACATGTATGTAGACTTAACGGACTACAAATTTCACAATTTCATGCAATCATCAATTCGATATCTGCATGTGATACAAGGAAACTTCATTTCAAATGCAAATATAGTGTAATAAAACAACTGCATTCTCATGGGAAGACAAGAAACAGGTACAACTCATACTAAATTTCAGTAAATAATGCAAGAAAACCATTGAATACCTTCAGTTGTCTCCCAAGCAACGCCACCGACAAAGAGTTTTCTACCACACAAGAAAGAAAGAAAAAATCAAAAGTTACTATCTATCATACAACCCACATATATATATATATATATGTGCAATTCGGATCATTCTCTCCATACATAATATATATACAATTCTAAGGAAACCCTAAGACCTGTACAAACACTACCAACAACTAACCCTGAATAAGAATCACGATGATGAAGATGATCATTGATCGAATGCTTTTCGTAATTGCTTGCACTATCATCATCTACATTAACAAAGGATTTGATTCCACGGTCTGAGGAGAGTCGTTGGCGAGTTGGCTCCTCTTCTTCTTCGTCGCCATTAATGGCGACGAAGTACTCTGCAAAACCACCACCACCACCACCATCCATTTGTGTTCTAAAACCCTAACTCTCTCACTCTCTCGCTCTCTCTCTCTATGTCTTTCTAACTACGAACCTGCACATGAATATGAATTGTTTCAAGCTTAGCAGTGGAGAGTTTTGATTATGTTGTAATCCCTAAAAAACACCTTATACAAACACAAAAACTTGTTCTTCGATCGATTGTGATTGTGGATTCGTAGCTTTTTAGGGTTTTTTTTTAGAGGATTCGAATTTCGTTTTTTTCAGGAGAATGGAAAAACCCTAGCTAGCTCCGTTGCAGAACGGCGTTTTTGTGTGGTGTTGTGTTGTGTGCTTGAGGGAGTCTCGTACAATTGTGATCCGCTTGGAGTGTTCATGATTTGGGGATTTATGTTGAACAAGGTCATGCCAGAAACGACGTCGTTGAACATTTTCTTTCTTTCTTTTTATTTTTTATTTTTCTCTCTTCCCTTTTTCAAACAAACTTAAATATTAATACATTTTTTTTAAGGTCCCTAACATTAAAATTTTATAATATAAAGAGCATGCAATATTTTTATAGTAGTTGGAATCCTTCAATATTTTTTCAAAGAAATTTTGATTTAGAGAAATTTCAAACTAGCAAATTTCTCTATATTTTGAAATTTCTCTAATTTACTTAACTTTCTTGATTTTCTCTATATTTTAAAATTTTCTCTGTATTTTCAAATCTCTCTAATTTAAAATTTTCCTAATTTGCTCACAATTTCGCTGTATTTTGACCAATTTTGTCTATTTTGCTTACAATTTTCTTTGTGTTTTGAGTAAATCAGAGAAAAATTGAACTACACAAAAACCAAAAACAAAGAGACTGAAGAAAATTAAGCTAGGTGTCGTTTGGCAAACTTGGCTTTTTGGCTTTTTTTCACTTTTTTAGTTTGGGACTTTTTTGTTCGTTTGGTTTTCTTATTTGGCTTATTTGACTTTTTTGCATTGGAATGACAAAATTACCCTTCACTTGAAAATGATACTTTTTTGACTTTTGTTTGTGACATAGGTGGGCCTATAAGGGCTTTTGGCCCACCGCTTAGAGCCCAATACATAATTCAAACACCAAAGCCCAATGTTGCACCAAGGACCAATAACATCTAAACATTTGTCAAGAGATAAACCAGCCACATAAGTAGACAAAGATCCTGCAGAGTTATTGCACCACACATCAGCCATCAATGAGGTTCCATACAGCATTAATGACGATAACCCCTTCACGTCGGAATAGAACAGTCTCACCATGAACAAGGCAAGCTAGAACATAGACTTTCGACCAACATGACAAGTTGGAGTGGACAAGGAAATGATGAGCAAAGGATATAAGTAGGTTTCTAAGGCAAGGAGAAGGGTAAGTTCTTTATCACCATCCTATCTTTATATCTCATTGATCTCTCTTCTCTAACTTGCTCGTCGGAGGGTTCACTAGGGGACTCCTATTCCCCGTTGAACTCTTGTACAGGTTTCTCAGTGGGCCCAGCGATCGGACAACCGTGTGGGAGGCCTGGATCAGTCCGACTCGTTCCTCAGAGACAAGTAGTATCATCAGTTGGCGCCGTCTGTGGGAACCTTTCACTCCGTGTGGCAACTGTGCTCATTGTCGTCGGAGACCCATTCTCGATAATCCCTACCTACCACCCACCAAGGTGGATGGTCACAACTAGATCCATGACTTCTCAACACAACGTTACCAACCCCCAAGCAATGCTTTGCTTCAACGAAACCTCTCTGTGCCTCCTCCACCACCACAAGATACCCACCTAACCAAGAACGAACCCCGAGCCATCCCTTCCAACAAGCCCACCCTTCTAACTTTGAGGATTTGCAACCTCCTCCCCAAGATATGAACCCGCCACCTCGGGGTCCACATCCATCAGTCCAAGCACCTGCTCCCGAAGGAGAGGCCAATAGTGTCCAACCTCCATTGCATTCTGGTGGTGACAACGTTTCTATATGGGATGCGGAACTCCGAGCCATGAAACTCTAGTTTCAAGGAGTCATGCAGAACATACAAAACAAACCCTCCATAACGGCCAATTCACCATTCGTCACCTCCATTAGGGACAAACCTCTACCTCCTAAGTTCAAAATGCCCTCGATCGACTCCTTCGATGGTACAACAGACCCAGTCGACCACTTGGAGACTTACAAGACCCTGATGGTCCTCCATGCATTCCCTGATGAGATCATGTGTCGGGCTTTTCCCGTAACGCTTAAGAGGTCGGCTCAACTGTAGTTTAGTCAGCTGCCGACAGACTCCGTCTTTACTTTCCAACACGTAAGTGACTCATTTCTTAGCCATTTCATTGGTGCCCAGGATCAGTGGCGTCCGGCGACCCAGCTCCTCAACATCCGTCAGTCAGAGGGGGAGTCGCTGCGTAGCTTCGTCACCCATTTCAACACCGAAGCCTTGCAGGTGGTGGAAAACGACGACAAGGTCATTCTCATGTCTTTCATGGCTAGTTTACGATCATCCGATTTCCTTTTCTCCCTCTCAAAAAACCCTCCAACCTCCATGGCAACCCTCATTTCCAAAGCCCAAAAATATATGGATACCGAAGACTCTTTGGCCGCCCGCCAAGATTCCACAACCAAAAACCCAACCTTCAAAGAAAAGAGAAAGGAATCTGAAACCAGAACCACCTAATACACCTAGCAGCCATCTCAGTATACCGACCGAACCACTCGAGTATACCGATCGGTACCTACTCGACCGTCCGGTCGGTTCGAACAGTACACACCCTTCAACTCCCCCATGGAACAAGTCTTAAACAAGATCCAACGAGATTACAACTTGAAATGGCCACAACCCTCACAGTCTCCTTCCAACTGGCGAGACCAATCCAAATACTGCCGTTTCCATCAAGACCACAGCCACAACACCGAAGAATATGTTAACCTTAAAGACTAGGTAGAAAGCTTGATACGCCAGGGGCGCCTCAATCGATTCACGGCAGCTCGTCCCCAGTAACGGCTGAGGACCAAACCTGCTAGGGACAACCACCGACACACTCTTCCCCGACAACCCACACAACCTAACCAAGGCAATGATCGACCCTCGTCACAACCCCGAGCACAAGGCAACCCTGCTTCTCCGGTTGGAGAGATCAGAGTCATTGCTGGTGGACTTGCGTACGGAGGACCATCCCGTTCGGCCCAGCGAACGAAACTTAGAAAAATCAGATAGGGCTTCGCCAAAGAAATCGCGACTTTGGATCGCCCCCTCAAACACCCCAAACAGTGGATGGAGCCCATTACCTTTTATGGAGGCCAATTGCACATGCATCCATTACCCTCACGACGACTTCCTCGTCATCTCTGCTCTCCTGTCCAATTACAAAGTCAAACGATTGCTTGTCGACAACGACAACTCTTCAGACATCATCTTTCTAAACGCCTATCGCCAGCTCAAGGTCGGAGAAGAAAGTTTGTCCCATCTCCAAATCCCACTGGTCAGCTTCACTGGGGATTGGGTGACCTCCATAGGCTCTATCGATCTTCCCATCACCATCGGAGAGTATCCACAGCAGACTACCAAGTTGCTCACTTTCCTCATCGTCAACTATCCCTCTACTTATAACATCATCCTCGGCTACACCATTGTAGGCACCCCATTTTTGACCGACCTTAAGACTCAAACGTCACTAGTTGAGCGCTCGGTGATATTGCATATCGTGCTCGTTCAGAAGTTTCAGAGTCTCGGCTGCGAGCCTTGCCTCTGGACTTTCGGACTCTTTCATGCCTTGCCTCGGTTTACGAACCAGGCTCTGTTTTCTCTATTTTCTCTTCCTGAAGGGAGAGAGAGGTCTCGTAGATCATCTCTCAGTGGCCGTAGGCTACGTTTCATGGTCGTAGGCCATTTTTCCCATTTGGAGTCTGGTTTTTGGTTTTTCGGAGCCGACGGCCGTGTGCCTCGGTTCGGGACCGCCTAACCACCTCCGTTTGCTCCGATTTTTGGCACACACCTTGTTTCCTCCCTTTTGAGGAACACTGTGGCCCGAGAGACTTCGTCGTCGAACGCCACCTCCGGTGCTTAATAGCCTGTTTTCGGGGCCCCTAGGCCGCGTGTTTCTGTCCCCGAACCTTCGCTTTGCATCCGTTTTGATTTATTTTTGGTGGAGACCTTATTTTCATTGTTAGGAAGCTTGTAGGAGGGTGGGAGCCCAGCAATTATTCTGAAAAGCCAGCTTTATTTCTTCATCGCTCTCCGTCGCCCGTTTTCCTCACTAAAAAGCTAATGTTGACCACCCTGGGGCCACTTTCTTTAGCTCTAAACCCCATATTTGTGTTGTACACACTTGGGAGGCCACCAATATGTATAGGCCGGCCAGTAATTGTCCTTGACCCTTTTGAACCCTCTAAAAAGTTGGCTTTTCTCTCTCCTGGTTCACATTTTCTGGATTTTGACCACATATTTGTGTTGTGCACACATGGGAGGCCACCTTTTTGGGATGGGAGGCCAGCAATTTTCATTGACCCTTTTGACCCCTGGCCGGTCGGCCGAGGGGGTGGCCGGCCAGCCACCTGAACCTTTTGAACCCGGTCGGCCAGAATTCTCTCTCTAAGTGCCTTCCAGCTGCACTCTCTGTTTTCTCCCAAATTTTGTATCCGGGGGGCTGTCTTTTGGGGGGGAAAATTTGAATTTGATTTTCCCCCCCATTCCTCCACTCTCCTCCTCTATATAACCAGCACCCCTCCTTCATGTTTGAGGGTTACAAAAATTGTTTTGAGCCTTGCATACAACTCTCCCTCTCCCTCTCTTCTAAACCCTTCAAACCCTAAGGTTCTTGCCCCCTTTACACTACCACTCATAGCACCACACCTCCACCCTTCATTCCAGCCCTTTGAAGCTGATTTCCAGAGGCTAGGAGCACCATTTCTTGGACCAAAAGTTGTTGAAGACTTAGGCTACAAGGGTAAGTCTCTTTTCCCTCTCTTTTAGCTCTATTTTGCATGCTTTCTTAGCTTTTTTTTCTTACATTTTTGGGCTCTGACCCAAACCGGAAATAGTCATATTTCGAGCTTTTCTCCATGTTTGATCAAGGGTCTTTCTCTGTTTGAGGTCTCCTCCTCTCCCTTTGTGTTTAAACTCTCTTTTAGGCCTATTTTTGCATGATATTTTAGGCTTATTTGTGAGCTGTTTTGGACTTGGTCATAAACTGTGAAATGTCTTGTTTTGAGCCTCTCTTAAACTTTGTTGGAGGGCTCTCCTATGTTTGAGGTCAGATGCTACCACTTACCTCTTTATCCCTCTTTTAGGCCTTTTTCTTGCATGCTGATTTAGCCTCACTTTTGTTCATTTTCGAGACTTGATGTAAACTGTAAAGTGCT